GCACTTGATCAGAAGCTGCCAAGTGTAAGTTCAGGCTAGTTAAATCAGAGTTTCTCCAAAGGAGTCAGTTTCAAAGGCAGGCTTGAGAAAGAAGAATGGCAAAATTCCTAAGTCATTTCAATGCATATATAAGCAGGATATTATGTGTGGCTGCCTCCAGGAGTGGAGGACAGAACTTGATGACTCAGTCCTATGTTTCTGTCTGTCTCCTATTAAACCTTGGCTTTATAAAAGCAACAGCAAGAAAATACTGTAGCTAGAAGCTAATCTCTAGCTAAGTTTTTTTCTGCATCAATTATGTGGGCTATAAATATAACAACAAAATAGCAAAAGGTTATGCTTGGCCAGACTAAAAATATATTCACACTAAAAGCAAACTGTTACTCAGTGGAAGCCATACTGTGATAATTACCAGTTTTTAATGGTCATGCAGATAAAGAAAAGCAAGACCTTGGATACCTGTCAGCATTTCAAGATAGTCCCATGTACTTTTACATCTTTGCCACCTCCATCTGCGGCACTCAAAGTGAAATTTGTTTTCAGTAAGGTGATGCTAACTTCATCCTGCTTCTCAGATGTGAATTATGGAAAGAGGAGACCATAGCAAGCCATAAAGTTTTTGTTTGCTTTCACTTTTATAAATATTATTGTTCAAGTTTTCTGAATATACTAAGTATATAAATAAATATATAATACTGAATATAAAAGATATCTGTCTGGACTGCAGTGAATGAGCTCAGCTTTAGGGGAATGGTGAGCACCACCAAAAGGGTTAGTGCAGGCACTTCAGGCTTAGGTGAACAGTTCTGCATTGAGGTGGCCAAAGCTGAAGTTTTCTGTGGCTACAGCAGCGTGGTCTGCTCCATCAGTGAGGAATGATCTGCTGGAGCCCCTTTATAGCAACTGGCTGCTGGAGATAAACATTACTGCAGCATGACATGTCCACATCAGAAGAGAGGCTTGTCTGGCTTCTTCAGGAGAAGTCTGCCTGGACCCTTGCCAGACACCTCAGTCCCAGCAGAGACACTCAGAACATGCCTGACTTTAAGCACGTGAGTGGCCCTATGGACATCAATGAGGTTGCTAATGTGCCTAAAGTAAAATATGTATTGAATACTGTCCTGGAATGGGACCAACGACTCAGAAGCTCCCAGGATCAAGGTTTGGCCAAAGAACAGAGAGTACAAAGGGAGACAAAAGCTGAGAGATACCGAGCTGCTCTCATGCCCTCTTGTGTCAGTCCTTCAAGGAAGCAAGCCCCGGAATAAACCCCTCAATATAGCAAAAGGAATACCTGTGCAAAAAGCCAAAACACTGCAACTCATTTTGCAGCCCACAGTGTCTTTTGCTTTTTAGATGGCATTACATTTTAAAGCAGAAATTGTGATGTCACTGCAGGAAAACATTGCAAAAACATTGCAGCAACAGGATTTCTTTCAACAGAGGCCTGGTTGACTCACTCCCACAGCTGCAGCAAAGTAGTCCAATGTGTTTCTGGAGAGCATTCTTGCTTGTGAAGTCTTTATTGGGACACTCTGACTGCAGGGAAATGCAGCCGCTTTTCATTTCTTGTGGCAGTCAGAAAGTTTCATTGAATATTTTTGAGCTCTCAATCTCTTCCAAAACACATGCTGAATTTCCTGGCTCTCTTCCTTACAATCTGGTCTGGGTTTCTACCCCTCTCACCTCTCAAATTACTTGGTGAGCACATATATTTAAAAAGAAAAAAAATTACTTTTTCAAAATTGATTTTATTTGTTTTTTCCAAACTTTGTGAATTTTTATGTGCACTCATTTTTATGTTTAAATTATCTGTATTCTGAATTTATCACTAGAATACAGCAAAGCTGAAACAGAAAGGGTTGTCCTTTTCCTATTAGTAATGCAACACTGCCAACTAGAGGCACTGGTAATGATCAAATTTTTGTTGTGGACTGCATGGATAAACTTCAGTGGATTGCATACCTATAAACATTAAAAATTCATATTTGCACTAGAGGAATCCCACCCAAGTCCTTAAACTACAATCATACTTACATACAATTTCCTTCAGTACATCATTTATTGAATCCAAGCACCACATCACATCATCCAGAAACTCAAATAAAACTAAGTCAGATAGCAAATTACTTTGGGTTCCTCAAAGAGTTATGGACACACTTTAACAGTGTCTCCATAAAACAAACAGACACTTTTGGAACATCTCCACAAGAGGTATTTTTTAACACCGCCACAAGACATTGCAAGTATTTTTAAAAAATGAAAATTGTAACTTTCACAGCAAATTAAATTCTAGCTACTTTCTAAACTCATAATTTCAATAAGGCTTCATAATTTATTATTTCTAAAGAAATTATAGTCTATTCAGGTGGTTTAAAACACAATTTTTGTATAGGTTTTCAGCTTTGTCAGGTGGCATACACTTTGAGGATGGTGTTTGTTCACAGCTGAAGGAGCAATATTGAAAATAGAGAAAACATGTCCTTGACCAGAAAGCTCAGCTGCTGCCTGTCCCATGTGGTTCCATGACATGTCTCTGGCTGCCAATTCCCTGTGTGAGAGGGGCCAGGGCAGATCTGTGGGTGTTTGTGCTCCAGCACAGAGCGGGGCTGCCTGGGCCCCGCAGCGCTGCCCTGCCCACAATGGGCAGGCCCAGCAGCCCAAGGTGGGCACTGCATGCAGCAAGAGGGAGCTGGAATGGAGGAGAGGGACCTTCTGCAGGTCCTCATGCCAGCCCAGATCCAGCAAAGCCTTGGGGAAAGCCCCCTCTGCTGTACCCCTCTTCTGGGCTGGCAGTGAATGCCCTGGGCTGCACCAGCAGCTTGGGAGGCCCGAGTGGCTTCCCAGGCCTCCTCTGGCAGGGCTAGAACCGCACTGTAAGAGAAAGATCTGCTGGTAGAAGAGAAAGAAGAGAAAGTCCTGCCTGCCAGGGCTCTCACAGCAATAAATAAACAGTCCAGAACAGTTCATACTTTTGGACTGAGGGAAGGAGCCAACAACATCTAGAGCTGGTTTCCTTTTATTTACCAAAACACATTTATTCCGTAAATCTCAGCAAAATCCATGAAAAATAATAAATTACTTTTTTTCCACTTGCAGTCTTCAAAGCTTTGTATCTATAAAAAGTTCTGGGAAATCTGAGAAGCCTAGAGGGCAGGAAAATAATCTTGTTGAGAAGTGGGAGCCAATAGACATTGTAGTGACTCACGAAGGCACAGAGCTGCAGAGCAGCTGAGAGCAAGCTGTCAATGAAGCCTGGGACCAAGTTTGTCAGGGGCTGTACCACAGGGCAATTTAAGGATGGAGGGGCCAGCTTCCAAAAAATGCAGAGAAAATCTTGGAGGGGTTGGAGGTGACAGTACTGGAAGGAGTTGAAGGCTTAGAAGCGAAAACATGGGCATTGGCCTGTTTGCAGCTAGTACAAACCGCTGCAAAAAGTAATTCAGTAAATGTTTTCCCAGTTATATTATTATGCTTATGTTCCATAACAATGTCTTTACAGGAATACAAAGCTAAAAATGTGCAATGGCGGAGCAAAAGCAAACAACTGGCATGCAGATAACACTGGAGTAGTTTGTTCACTTGAGCATCACCTAGAGCTCTGCTTTTAGGGAAGGGGGTGGGGGGAAAGTACATCTGCTGTGAATCAGCTTCTAGGACCAGAAGAATTATTTCTACAGTTATGACTATTTTGAAAGACACACACACACACAGAAACAAATCTCCATGTCATATCTACATTTCTTTAAATTACTTTATTGAAATGATCCAGACATTGATTTTTGGCTGTCAGTCTAGACATAAGCCCAATGGACATTTGCAGGGTTTTTCCACTTATTCCTTTCACTGTTTGGCAGTGAAAGCCAATGCTCAGCACTATAAACTCCAAGAGTAGTTCTCTGCTTGGTACCATGTGCTGCTTGAATGTGCACTGAGATCCAGACTCAGTCCACACCAAATACCAGTGTTAGGAGCCAAAAGTACCTCCCATTCATTAAAATATATGTTCTGCAAAGTTTTCTCATATTGTTTACTGTAAATTTGGGCATTTGTGGTGGTGCATCTCCCCCCTCCAGGCCACACGATGACCTCTCTTTGTGATCTCCTAATTAATTTTGTATTGATTTGCAGAGGCACACTGATCACATGTAAAAGTCTTTGGCAGAATTGCCAATAGATGTTGCAGACTGGTGCTGAATTGCAGCTGTCACAGGAGCTGTGATCTCATCCCTTGCTCACACAGAACCTAAGGCAGAGTTAGGCAGAGTAAGAACTTCATCAGCAACCTCATTTGTGCAGCATTCTGTAGAGTAAAATTTAAAAGTCAGTCTCACTTTTCATAAATAGGCTACACATATGAATACTTACCTAGATCTGCTGCTGCATGACTCAGACAAAAGCAGCAGTTTGAGATTCCAAATGCCAGGCATTTGCATTATTCTGCAACATCTTTCTTTCTCTAGAAATCCGTCTTTGGCACATACTTTATTGCTGTCTTATTCTTCCCTACGTTTAGATAATTATTACATTTCCTAATTTTGATTTAGATTTAACTGTGTATACACAGTTAACCCATAGCTGTATCTCCAAAACTGATCTGTAGAGTCGGGGAGAAAAATGGAAGGACTTTCCACCACCATGACCCTGCAGACTAAGCTGGCTGAGCTCAATGAGTGGGAGCACACTGGTTCAATGAGGGGTGCAGAAGCATGTGCTCTACATTGTAGAGATTGAATTGAATATTTGGCTGGTAGCTGCTGCTGCACAGGTCACTGGTTTGACTGCCAGGCAGCACAGACTGTGCCTGGGATGGAGTTCTGGCTTCACACTCCATTCATGTGTGGATGCTGAACAGAAGAAATCAAGGATAGGCAGCTGATCAGATCCCCTTAGCAAGCAGGGACTGAGCAGGAATACTGAAGGCATCCAGCTTGGTTTTACAAATTATTACAGTAGTTTTCTTTCAGCATAAAACCTTAACAACATCTTTTTCACCACAGCTGCCAATCTCTCCAGCAAGATTGACAAAGGCTGAAATTCTGACCTTCAAATATAGAGACAAATTGCTGAACATGATCCTGCTAAAGGGAACTCTCAGGTAACTCAGCACTAATTTCAGTCTATTTGATTGACTGTCTACTGCTTTATATCTTACAATAATAAACCTGTGCCATGAAAAACACAATACCTCAGATCTTAAGAACACATTATCTCAAAAATATTTCCATAATTTTGGAAAAATTCAATATTTCTAAGAACAGTAACCATACAGTCCATATAAACAAATACACAGGAGAGGAAGACACAAAAGAGGATTGCTTCTGATTCCCCTGCAAATCTATTCAAGGAGGAGGAAAAAGGTGATCCAGTTCATTCCTTCTTTATGCAAAAGTGATGAATAAAGGACTTTGCTTGTATTCATGAAGTTCAGTAAAATTATATCAAGCATCATGTCCAAAAAAACCAGATATTTTAAAACTACAACTCCCAGGAGTAATAATCAGGTAGTTTAAACCATAGTTTTTTAATAAATAATTTTTATTTCCCTCTCAAAAAGAGAAAGAGAGTTTGTTTTATTTGTTAATTACACTTCTCTACACAAAGTAACCCTTGTGCCTTCCTATTAGGTTCATTCCTATCTTCAAGCACCAGTGAACTCTGCCATTCTTTGGGAACAAAAGCACCTCCAGTTCCAGCTTTCATTGGTGGTTTCTTTTTTCACTGGACAAAAGCCAGACTCAAACTGTTGGAGGGGGTGTTAGCAGACAGACACAAGCCACTATTTATTTCCAGTCCTCATACAAGACACCTGATACAAGCTAAGATGAAGAGAAATGCAAGGAATCAGTGTATAAGCATGGGAACTTGCAAGAGAGAAAGTTGGAGGCAAGACAGAAAAGCAAGGGGGAGGGTGAAAACACATCATTTTGGTTTTCAGCTCAGAGGTTCCTCTCATTTTTTCCCAGGTGAATGTGCTGTTGCTGCTACACAGAGACATGGGCAGCTCAGGTGTTCTGTGCTTAAATAGCTGATTTTTAACTAACAAATTCCAGGAAAAGGACCTTCAATCAGCAGAACTGGTCACTGTGGTGAGCAAATATTTCTCATTCTTAACTCTCCTTTAGTAAAGCAGTGAGGTTTTGTTCACAAATGCCTTACAAGCCTAGTTATACAAAAAGACATGTGATAGATGCATAGAGATTAGCTAGCAAATGTTTGTTCTGGCAGGGAATTGAAGCAACCTATGTGGTGTTGGCTGTCCTCTTTTTACCTGAAACAATTAAATAACATTGGAATATGCAGCATCAAAAATATGGAATATTAAATTTTAACTGCCTCCAGTTGCAGTTCCAAATCCTTCTTAATTTTCAATAGAAAATCAATTATTAAGCTTCAGATGATTTTACCTGTGATTTAAAGAGATTAACACTTTGATTGTTTTTTTATTAATACATCATGAAAGACTACTTCTTACCACAAAATTACAATTTATTTTTTCCTAGCTTTTGCATATTTTAATGTAAAAGTTTTTCTCCAGCCACCTCAATAGAATGAATTTCTCTAATTGAGATTGCCAGTTATTAGAAATGGAATGTTAATTTTTTCACAAGAAATTTAACTGCTAACAGTGATTCTGTGATGTGAAGAGAGCCATTAAAGCAGTACTTTTCATGCCTATTGGTCTTAAAATGTATGAAGCATTTTCTTTTGTCATTGCTCAGGGCTGCAATTCCATACTAACATCAGTTTGAAATGCAAGTTAGAGATTTTCTTTATCAGTACAGGCACAAATGTCTGGGGTGATATTTTTTTTTTTCTTTTTTGCAAAGCAGGGGTAGAGAGTCATTGTTATTATTATTCATTTGGTTTGGGGGTTTTTTATTCAAGTCAAAGTAATTTCTCAGTGGGGCATTCTGGTAGCTCCTAAAGCTCAAGCTCTGAAAAGTGGAATCTCCAGTAAGATGACTGAGAAGTATCCTGACCCACATGCATTCCATTTTTTAACTCAGTTGAAACCATCTGATATCCACCTGAGTATCAGATCTTTAATGCCTAGAAGTGATTGTACTGAAGAAAGTATACTTATCAATTAAAAACAATTTGGCTTTGTAATGCTTTTTCTCAACTCTTGCTTTTGTCCTCTGACTTTTATCAAGGTAAGAAGTTACTGAATTTCTTATAATGGTCTTGGTCAGGAAGAGAATACTCAACCAGCCAGAAACACAGATGAATTGTTTTATTCAGAAGGAGTTGAGCTGAATTTCAGTGTAAAATATGAAAAAAAGAATGGGAATTCTTTTAAGTGGAGACTTAAAAAATTACCGCAATTTCAAAGTTTTGGAAAGATTTGACAATTTAAAGAGTATTGTACTTGTGGCAAATTCTTGCCAATCTTCCTACTTAATTAAGAAGGATATTATGAGACATCTTTTGACAAAAAAGCTCCAGTCTAAAAAGAAATAAAAATCCCATGCTGTTACATATCACTGAAATGAAAAAACCTGGAGCAGTGTCTTGAAATTGCTGTGATCCAGTATTACAGCATTGTACTAGTTCATGAGAATCACATGAGAACAGTACCCTGCAGCCTCATTTTGCTGCTGAAACTAGCATTGCACAGCAAAATTAAGCACTTCCAGTTTGCATTTTCCTCACAAAGGCAAGCATTTCTAGAAAAAAAACAGAAGTGTCTCTGAAGTACAGATTGTTAGGATGCCACTAACATATTGATCTACACTGCACCAAGTGATAAATCCATGTGACTAAAGCTGTTTTTTGTTTCCCAGTTTCCTTGCATTGGAAGGGAAATAATGCTCCATTCTACACTGGCCTTGTCCCTCCTGCTAATTGCAGTCACTTCCAACCTTGCCATGGCAATTAAAAAGGAAAAACGAGCGCCTCAGACCCTGTCAAGAGGTATTGTATGTTCACTGAATGTAGTTACCTCCTCACCTCACCATATAGACCAGCAAATATGTTTATTTTGAATGTGCATTTATAGAATCTGTATCTATATATACATTCCATAAATGTACAAACATATTTATTTATAAAACCTACATAGAATGCACATATACACTTACTGAGGTGTGTTTTCTTTAGTGTTAAGTGATGCTCTAATTAATATATGTTCTCATTCCAGATCATTTGAATCCATCAGTTTATTAAGCATATGACTGAGAGTGTCATATAACCTGAATATTTTATATATCTCATAGTAATCTAACAGAAGCAAATAACCTAAACTGAGTCTCTTAAATCAAGATGTAGGACTATCAGTGAAAAAATATTCTTTGACAGACCATTTAAAATATATGTTCTTATTGTAACCTACCACAACATCAGTTCCTATGGAACAAATTTTCTACAGACTCATTTTTGTACACAGAACAGTTTGAACCATTGGTGAGGTTTCCTGCATGACTCTTTTTTTTTTTTGCTTTTCATCAGATATCCACTGCAAAGCATGACTGTCTGTAATTCACTTCCCCATGGTGCATAATTTTCAATCTGAATGTTAAATAAATACTCTGTTTTAATTTATTTATATCTAATCAATCCTTAGAAATCCAAGCAGAAAAATAGCTTAGCAAAGTTTTTCCCTTCCCCATCTTTCTCCTCCTTTTGGGACTATTCAACAACAACAAAAAAATCTTCATCTCTCTTCCTAACCTCTTTTGCAGGCCATGTTATGCCTGCAGATCCCATAGGATCTGAGTTTTCCCTATTCTGGCAAATTTGCACATCTCTCAGGCATTCCATCTGAGCCTAATTGCTCAGAGATCTTTTAACAAAACCATACACCACCTGGACTAGCCTAAGAGAAATTTCAAAACACTTTTTGCAAGCAGTGTCCCTGGGGAAAGTTTATTATCAATCTGGTATATGCTGCTTAGTTTGCCTGAATCAGGATTTGTTTTTTCCAGTAAGCCTAAATGAAACAAAAAGATAACAACATCTTTTGCATTATGTCAGATTTGGAAAAAAACAAACCAAAACAAAACAAAACAGAAAAAACCAGCAAACAAATTACAAAGTAGTCACAGAAAACAGATCTAACTTTTCTATTTCAGGTCTATTGGGATGCCTTGAGCGCTTTCCCTGTAATTTTCACAGTCCAAGGGAAAATGCTTGAACATGCTGCAAAACGCCCCCAGATTGCTGACTCCAGTGTGCAGTTCCCTGCAACAGGAGCTGCCAGCAGCCAGGTTTGGGAAGGCACTGGTCAGCATGCCAGAGTCCCACCATCACCCAGACAGACTTGTGCACTGAAACAGGACATGGTCTAGAAGTACCACAAGCAATTGTCCTGTGAGAAATCCAACAGCAAATCTGGGCTGGGCAAAGCACTGTCCAGACAGCACAGAAGAAACAGAGCTTTGACCTGGTCCTGGTCCAGAAACTGTTCTACAATTCCCATGAGGATTGTAAAACAATTGTCATGAATGGAGCCACACTGCCTGGGATACAGGGATCTACTATGCAAGGGCTGGCATCCTTGGGAGATGAAGGCATAAAACCAAGTGGTCAATTTGGTTTTTGAGATCTGCATATCCCCAGCTATGGATGAGCTATGAGGATTTTGTTTCAGTGGAGATTTTTATTTAACAACCATTCCTTTACTGAATTCTTGATTAAATTAAGGGCTTGCAACTTCAGGCATTAAAGTTACTTTGGAGTTAAGTGTATATTCCAAGACTGTTCTAATGATATTCATATTAAAACTGATCTTATTTGAGCTGTCATATTTTATTTTTCTCTTGTTATACACCAGCTTCTCTTTAAGTCCCAGGATCTACATGAAATACTGGGCAGACAATATGAAGATAGAAAGGACTAGGATGCTGATTTAGGGACTTCTGAGCATTTAGAAAGATAACCTAAAGTCTGTCAAAGGACTTGAAGTGGACATGCAACCGGATGATATTTTTTGGGGGGTTGGGTTGTTTGGTTGAGGTTTTTTAACCTTCTAGTGTGTCTGTCAGGAGATGTGAAATTAACATATCCACAATGTTAGAGAACTGTCAACTAAAAACCCCAAATCTTATTTACATACAAAAGTTAATACACAAAAACAAAAAATAAAAAAGAGAAAGAAAGGTATTTGTTATGAGTTACTTGCCTGGCCAGCAGCTAGACCTTTTGTTTTGTTTCTAGGGTGGGGAGATGAAATTACATGGGTACAAACTTATGAAGAAGGACTTTATCAAGCAAAGAAAAGGTAAGAGATTAAAAAGTAGCATGAAGACAAAGTTGTTACTTGGTCTTGCCAGAACACACAATAATGAGAGAGCAAGGAAACACCATGAGAGCTGACCTGCAGACCACCCAGTTAAATAAAGCAGACTCTGTCTAAAAAACAAAAGGGCCTCTAGGACTCATGACTCTGAAGCAACATCATGGGCCATTAATGTAATGCTGTCGTTTGTTTGCCACAAAAGAGATGTTGTCATTTAAATTATCAATCATAAATAGATACCATAATTTTTTTAACTACATCTATTGGGTTTTAATATTGTGTACTTCTGATTACTTCCTTGAAATCTGTTACATTTTCTCTTGTATGGTGATCTACTGCCTTTGATGTTTCCCCCAATACATTCTTAGTTGGAATAGGTTCGTGATATATTTTCTCACCATCTTGATAGAAATAGAAGTTTTAAGCTGTATTCTCTGAGACTCAGATGCAAATATATTTGAGAATTCATAACAATACTTATTTAAATAATACAGTTCATTGTAGATCATAATCATGTAGCATGAGCTATTGCTCAATTGAAGGCAAATTATTTGTAAAACAAAAGACAATTAATTTCATGTACCCTGTGTGAAAATGGTTAGAAATTAACAACTCCTGATATTGAAAGCAGACCCAGCATTAATAACCAACCTGCTGAACAGTTAATATAGTTTAAAAAATATGGGAGGAAATGCATATAATTTGTTTATGTTTTGACATCCAATATATAAAATTTTAACACTTTATCAAACTATTTACAGAAGATAAGTAATATGCTATATATCTGTTCAAAAAACCTTAAAACACAAGAAAATTTTCATGGAAAGTATTTGATGATAAACCCAATCTTATAAAATCTATTTTATTCTAATTCATGTACATAATTTTTATTTTCTTAACCCTGGAGAAATTCACACCTAAGCAACATTAAATACCTATTTAATCTGATTATTTACTACCTGGAAATGAAATTATGGTGGATCTGTTATTTCTTTCTTCTAGAATCTCTTACTATAGACAGAATTTAGACATTTAGACATAGAAACTCTGTTTCTCTATTTCTTTCTTTTATGAAGTGCTTATGCTCTTTTCCCTTGCTCAGAAATTTCTATAATATTTTACAGAATGCTTATATGGTTTTACTGTGGGTTAACATAAGATTAAATGCAATTTGCCTTTTTCAGTCAGCTAGTACAATCCTCCCTCTGAATACATGTCAAATGACCTAACTATATCTTTTATTATTATTAATACAGTAACAAGCCGCTAATGGTAATTCATCATTTGGAAGACTGTCAATACTGCCAAGGTAACTTTGATTTTTTGTGTGTTAAAATCTTGTGAATATTTTTATAAGAAACTGAACCTATCCATGTATTTACATTGCACTTACTGAAAATTATTCAGAAAATGAAATTACTGTTATTTACAGAAACTCCATTATGAAACTACACAATAATGAGCATGAAACATTCTCGCTGCTGCTGTACTGCTATCCCAAATGCAGCACTCAGTTTAAATTAAGAAGCACAGATTGGCTACTGACTCATTGAACAGATTTAATATTGTTTAGCTCTCCTGAAACGGTAACTAAAGAAGGAAGCAAGGGCAGGGCTGCTGAAATTGATCTAACAAGAATTTTCTGAGAATAATGCACTTTTGTCAAGCCAAGGCATGGTGTCCATTGAGACAACAGGCTTCATAAATAACAGAAGAGAGCTTCCATTTTCATAGCCAGAGGTTGCAGTGCCACAGGCCAAAAAGCCCCCAAAAGCAGAGATAGAGGCCTGAAGTGCCTCCTCAGGAATGTGAATCAGCAGAGACAGGAACAATGCAGCCCAGTCTCTGGCCAGTGTGGTGCCCAAGCACAGATGGAAAGGCAGCGTTTGAGATGGATTTCAAAGTGATCCTGTCTTTTCTAGCACTGAAGAAAGCTTTCGCAGAAAATGAAGAAATACAGGAAATGGCCCAAAATAACTTCATTATGCTGAATCTCATGGTATGAAGGGTTTGGGGCGATTTGACTGGTATCGTTTCATGGTCTGTGTTTTCTCTTTCTTTGCCTTGTTTTACATGTCATTTTAGATAATTTATCTGACATTTTAGTTATTTAAGTAGAGGCAATTGTGCATGTGTATTCACACATGAGTAGTACCTATCTGATTTTGTCTTCTGGTATACAAGGTTATTCACAGGTGGTACTTTTCAGCAAAATTTACAGAAACATTTTAACAGCTAGCCTTAATTTTTATACCAGCATGAAACTACAGACAAAAACCTGTCACCTGATGGACAGTACGTGCCTCGAATCATGTTTGTAGGTATGTAAAATATTTATGTATCATTGAAGTTGTTATATCTGAATTATGCCACTGTTGTCCTGTGGGGACATCAAAGTGATTCATTTTGCCAAAAGAAAATCTCTCTGCCTCTGTTGGATACTTTGACTCTTGTAAACTTCCTCAGATTACAGATATATCCTGGAGGGTACTAATTTGGGCTTGAGAGCAGGACATTTAAAACTCTGTTATTATCTGAGCTTTTGCTCTCCATGCTTCTTTCTAGTGCTGTTACAAGACAAAGTTTAATGAAAAAAGTCAAATATCTGACTGAATGTAGATGGCTATAAAGTGGGCATTACCACAGAATAAATCAATAGTCAGTGGCATTTAAGGATTTATCCCATTTTAAAACTGACTTCTGGAATGGACCAAATTAATTATGCCCCAGATTGCCTGTTCCTTCTCAGTCGCTGTACAGGGAGCCTGGAGTGACTCCGTGATGGCATTCAGAATTCAGCCCACCCTCAGACAAAGAGCGGGGTAGTTTCAGCAACCAGTAAATTAATAATAAACTTGGAAGGGTAACTGAGAGAAGAGATGTTCACAACAATTTATTCCCACTCTGGGAACATTAGGAATCAGAAGATTTTCATTCTGAAGGCTCTAGGTAAGTCATGCTATCTATTGCCATAGATAGGCATGACCCCCACTATGGGTACATCCAATCAGATGAACCTCCTCTGAGTTGTAAACTCAGAACCTGCAAAACAGGATGTTTTTCTTTAAATATGAATGTGTAACCTAGCACTTTAAAATAGCTGTGTACTATGAAAATGAGCATTAGCTTTTGTTCAGGATTTCTCCAAGTAAAGAGCAGTTGTTTGGAGCAGAGCGTAACGGCCTCGTAATTGCTACACCGATGAAATCCCAAACAGGGCTGCCAAAGTAATGCCACACCATCACCCTCAGCTGCTGTGGGAATGGAAGGCAGTGTTTAACCCAAACCCTTTTTCAGACCCATCTCTCACAGTAAGAGCTGATATCACAGGAAGATACTCCAACCGGCTGTACACGTACGAGCCGCAGGACATGATGTTCCGTAAGTGCCCCTTTGCCCTTTGTATTTCACGTTGTAAGCAGCCAGATTGCCCCATCCTGATCACTTGTGCTTGAGAATCCATTAGGATCTCAAAGAATAAATTCCTTGTGAGTGCATTTGCAATAAATTATAATGGTCTAACCTGTTCTAGCAAAACAAACACATGCATTGTCCCATTGAATTTATTGGGACTATTCAAGTAAGAAAAATTGAAAGATCATGGGTGAGAACCTTCAGGATCAAGATCTGAGCAGTTTTATGGAGAATGGTGAAAGTCACTCAAAAAGTATCTGCCTGTACAATGTAAATAGCCAGTGGTGGGAGGGAACCAGCAAAGAAATGCAGGTGGTTGTGTTTGTACCCCTAAGAGCCATATATCAGAAAGGAATGTGATTTTTCAGGTTGAGCCAGTTCTTACTCTATGCCATCTATTTGAAACCAATGCAGTATCTCACCACAAATACACACTTCACATCTGATTACCAGCTTGCTGTTGAGAAATGGGGAGTTGAAAGGATTCTTGTCAAATCCCTTAAGTTAAACATTTTGATTAATGAAATTTTTTACTTTCTGTCTTAGTATCAATCTCTAAAATAAAATGTGTGACCACAAATCAATTTCATTGTGAATAATTTACTAAATCCAACTAGGTGGAGCTTTTTAATTGTACAAATATACTTCTAATACATTTTCACAGTTCTTATTTATTTTCTTTCAGTAATAGAGAACATGAAGAAAGCACTACGCCTCATTCAGACGGAACTGTAACCAGTAACAGTGAAATGAGCAGAACCTCCACGAGGTGAAGCTGCACCTCTCTGTCTCTACTTACAAGCCAAACTTTTACCAAGCAGATTTGGTATATCAGATTTCATAAGAAATGTTTATGTGCAACTTGGAGAACAAAAATAGAATGACTAAAGCACCCGTTTGGAAAACGTGAGGAGAAATATTAAACACTTTGCAATTAATTATCTAAATAACTGAAAATTATGTTTTTAAGTGCAGCAAATTCAAGCTGTATTTTAGCAATCGAATTATGACTCAGTTAGGTGAGCTATGACTTCTGAAGAGGAGTTATAAACAATCTTTTTGACGTCTATTTGCAATTTATTACATGAGTTGATATCTGCATCTTGCCTCCCCATTTTAACTTTTATTGCAAGAAGCTTATTAATTGTTAGTGTACCCCTGCTTTATACAGTCATTTTTCATTGAAGGAAAGGAAACTTTGCTGTCAAATTAGACTGGAAAGCTCATACTACAAATTTTGGAATAGTTTACATTGGGGGAAAAAAAAACAAAACAAACCCACAAAAACAAACAAATAAATAAACAAATAAACAAAACCACCCCACAACAACAGTGTTCTGGGCTTATCTTTCCTTTGTATAATCCTTTAATTTTTGTTGTGGTAGCTGAAAATGGAAGAGACTGAGCGCGCAGTCTCAGTGAGGTGATAATAATCAAAAGGCAGCTACGTGTTTTGCTGCAATAAAGATACAATGAAGCAAGAGAGATGGAAGGAGATAGACCCAGAAATCCAAACCTGAGGCTAAATGATGTTTGTAAATTCTGGCATGAGAAAAATGAGGACGTCTATCCTAGCTCTTGGCATTTAAATGTCATTTCAGTCATGGGAAGCTCAGTCCAGGCCATTCCCTCTTTTTCTGCAGCATTCCACCGTAAAGTTGGCAGCTTACTGAGGGAATCTGGACATACAAAATCTTGGCAAAATTTTCACAGGATTACTGTATGCAAGGGTGGACACCTGTTTTGAGTTAAAAGCTAAAGTCAGCTGAAACGGTTTACTATCCCAGCAATGTGGGGGTTTGTTAGAGCAAAACAGTCAGCAATTCACCTGCAGCAGGAGCATGTATGTTATGTTACATGTAAAGCATCTGTGTCATTTTTTGGTGCCATCTGTGTTTGCTTGATGCTGCCTCTGTACATATGATGAAAGAAAGATGTCTGCAGGAAAGCTTTGCTAATTCACAATACCTAGTATTAATATGTCATGAGTGAGTTATATGGCACATATCCACGTGTTCATAACTATGTAAAATTTGAATATAAGCATATATTCCAACAGAGGGGAGACAAATGGCCTCTACATGAAGGAAAAAAGAATATTTCAGTAATTAGAAATGTATTGTCTTTACAATCAGCATGATCTTTTTAACCTATGGGGAAAATGCTAGAAGTAAAATTAAACTGCAAATCTCATTCCTTTAATTTGTGCTGAGCTCTACTCATTTATATCTTTATCTGCTCCAGATTTGGCAAGATTTCCCTGTCTGTGGTCATACCCTCTTTTGAGCACGCCGGAGATATTCTGGAGAAAGGACTGCAAACTAGCTACCAGAGGGTAGCCACAGCAGCCATTCACCTTCCTTTTCTCCAGGCTACACAACCTCTGCCACTCCTCCAGGAGCTTTGTGTTCTAGACCCTCCACCAGCTCCATTGCCCTTCCCTGGATGCGCTCCTGCCTTATTGGCCTTGCCCCAACCCTTACCCATAAACATCAACCCTGCCATCACCATCACCAAGCTCTAGGTTGTGACAAATCCCTAACATATGGGGCCACTCCACTGCCTCCCCTTCCTTGCCTGTCCCTTTGGAAGAGTTTACAGCCATCCAGTGCAGCCCTCCAGTTGTGCCAGCCAGCCCACCAGGTTTCCATGATGGCAACCTACACCTGCTTTCCTGATTCCCCATGGCTTCCAGCTCCTTCTGTTTGTTGCCCATGCTGTGTGCATTGTGCAGATGTGCTTCAGCTGGGCTATTGATCCTGCCAGCATTTTGAGGGGAGAAGCCCTAATTCCTACATGCCCATTCCCAGGCACTCTGTGGTTTCTAATATCAATAACCCTTGTGTTTCTTCTGCCACATGGCTCTATCCCCTACCTCCACTGAGAGAACAGACCAAAGGACCTCACCAGCACACTGTCCCTCAAACATTTGTGTGACACTACCAGACTTAACTCCAGGGAGCTGCTTTTACCCCCTTCCCTCTTCAAATCCAGTTTAAAGTTCTTTATTCCTTTAGTGGATCCATCCATAAGCAAAGAGGTGGCTGTCAAGAATGCACAAAGTTAGAATCCCAAAAGATTTGTGATATAGGACTGCTTGATCTCGCTTCACCTCAGGAAAGCTTAACTTCATAATCTCACCTCAGTGCTGTAAAAGGAAATAAATGATAGAATTACCACTTATTGAAATCATGGAAGAAACAAGTAATTCAAACCTTAGACCAGGAAGGCTACTGTTGTTCTACTCTTTTTTGGCATTTGATGTTGAGCCTGCAGACAGGAAACAAAGTATGTAAATTAAACAAAATACATAACTAAATCTTCAGAACAATGCAATGATCACTGACTCAATTGTCAGACAAAAGCTAGCCTTTAGATTTACACTGCAGTGAATGTTATTTTAACATTTGAAGCAAATCCAGATTCATTTCCAAAAGGATTATTGATAATGACTGCATCTGTAACCTTGAACAGCATTTGCTACTTTGGAAGTTGGTAACAGTTTTAACAACCACTCATTAAAGCAGAGAGTAGCCAATTTCTACAGATGCCACAGGCAAATGAATTATGCCATGTCAGATGAAATCTCTTTGCAAAGTCAGTAAAGAGGATTTCACCCTCTTCTTTCCATTCTCAAATCCCCATAAGTACCATGCTGAAATCTGTTCCCAGCCACAGCCTTCAGAAATGGGACTAAATCTTTGAGATTCTTAAAGACTCAGATCAAGTCCTTTTGGTGGAGCTAGATGTTCAGGTAAAAGACACCCTGCATGCACATATTTTTTATTCGCAGCTTAGTTCAACACTTATCCCTAATTTTAGAGCTGTTGCTACATTTCTGCCTTCTCTTTGAAGACTTTTTTGCCAGGTAATATTTCTGCTGATGGAACAGAAACTCAGATCTCAGATTAAGGTCTCATTGTTCTGAGATAAGAGACTAAACCTGTATCCTGTTCAATTGATTCTTTCCCCTCGTTTCCTCTGAAATGAATGGCATGATAGTCTGCTCCCTCTTTGATTCCTTGCTTCTCTGTTTGCACACCATACAAATTTGCTCACTATATTAGTGGGCAGATTTTTGTTTTCACTCTTTGCTTTCAACTTTCTTAAGAAAAGAGTTGGAAACTATTCCTTTTGTTGCTTGTTTATCTGGAATTAAACCAAAGAGGTTAGAGTTGAAGGAAGAGAATAAAAGACTGAAAATGTGAACGTGAGAGCAGAAGTTGTTTTACATAGAATAAATTCATTCACAGTAAAAGGACCAATAGATGAGAAAGCCTATCTGCGTAGACTGTGTACAGAATTCATAACCTGTATTCTCTATGTTTAGGTGTTAACATTCACATGGGCACAATGTGGTATTACCTGTAGAAATCCATGTTTTATACAAAAAGATTTCTCCGAGTTTTGCCCTTGGTATGATGACAGAATATTCTGGGAAGAAAAAATTACTGCCACCTGCTCACATATCCGTCTCTGCTTTACTGTCTGGGCATATCTGGTGTAATCAGACCAAGAGTAGACAAACAAACGTGGCCTTAACGTCAGTGAGGTGAGGCTCAGGAATCTGAGAAGTGACAGAACAGGATCCTCCCCTGTGTATCCGTCTCAGCACAGAAAGGCGTTCCCTTTTCCAGGCAGATGGCTGATCCATTGGTCTGTGGAGCTAAACCATTTTCCCATGTGCAAATATTTGCACCTGACCAGAACAAAAGAAAAGGCACCATACCTTTGTGTACCGTGGAGGTGAGAGACTGTGGGACACCTCAGCACTTAAAATGCAAAAGTAGCTTGATCTTGCAGAATAAGGCTGATAAAATTAGGCTTGTTTCGTGTACTACACCTGTTCTTGCCAAAGGCTGACACAGAGAAATTTCCAAATGCTGAGGTGTCCTCCACAGGATCAACCAAGTCACTGACTGCTTCCTTTTGTTTGTTCCTTTTTTCAAATAGATGTAGAGATCTACAGTTCAAGTCAGAAGGAAATGAATAGTCCCCATGGCAATCAAAAAGTCCAAAACCACTGAATAGAAGGGAAAGAATATTTATTTTTTCACCAGAAAATCTACAGAATTTACAGTCTATTAATTCTTTTTCCTTTCTCCTCAAGACGTCTGTGCAATTCACCACTTCCATCTTTGGTTGCTACCATGTATTGTAAATAACTGATCCCCTCATCACTAAAAGTGCATCTATTTCAGCAGACTGTTTTCTTTTATGAGGTATCAGATATTTGCTGATCCCTTTAGAATCAGAGAAGACACACAATAACTACTGCTTCCCCTCTTTTTGTGTAAAGAAAAAAACCCAAATAAACAGAGTCATCTTTTAGTTCACACTGCCATGTCAAGAACTGCATTTTGAAATTTCCCAATAATGCCAAGTCCAGCAGACATTCATGAAGTCACCCTTTGTACACCTCTAAGTCTGACCTGTGAGAAAGAGAAAAGATACCACGCACAATAACTTTTCAAGTTTATAAGACTCAAAAGACAACACTCCACATGGAGTGTGCTGGTGCTTAGGCTGTGTTATTGTTTTAGGAATGAGCCTAAAATGGCTCCAAAAAGATCTACTGTGTCTTCTGTTACCTTTCTGAGGTATCACTGGTTACTCCTTAGCACACCCTGGCTGCATGTCCCCAGGTGATTGTTTGTAAAGGGCTGGCACACAGGAACCCACCCTGCTATTTAGCACTCAGCCAGCTGCAGAGAGACAAGTGCACGGATGTATAAAAACCACCAGCCTCATTGCTTAGGTTCACATGCAGGGAAGAGAGCAGTGACTGCCAGGAGGAGAAGCTACACCCCATGGTGAGGAATATTGCATAGGATGGAGAGAAAAGCCCAGGAGTCCCTTGCTGTGCTAAGGGATTTTTTTGCTTCAAGGCTACAAGTAGCTGGGGCTGCGATTTTACTCAGCTCTTGAGCATTTTTATAAAAGCATAAGAGCAGCAGAAGAGCAGGTATCTTCCAGACCTCCACTGCTTCACTTGGGAGACAACTCCACAACCAATATATCAAATTATTATGTTATTCTCAATATCATTTGTATTCTCAAACATTTTTATATATACATTCCTACTGAGGAGCGTTCTTGCTCTAATTGAAAAAATATTCCCTCATGGCCTCACTGGCTTAGTTCTCAGTAATTCGTATACTCTCAACTTTGACAATTAAAAACAAATTCCAAATTCCATAATGAATTCCCAAAAAGGAATTCAATGATGCAAAGCAGAAGTTGCCCTGGACCTGGAGATTAAATTTTTCCTTCCTTGGAAAAACGCCCTTTCTTATTTACTGACCAAACAAATTACTACAGAGGGAGTCATAGTCCAGTAAAAATGTATTATGGGCTGTCCTGCATTCTTGGGCTCAAGATATGAGATGCGGAACAACTCTGTTAAAGAGAAATAAACCTTTAGCATTTGTTTGGTAGTTGTTTATAAAAGCCAAGGAACAGCTCTGTGGATATCTCACAGAGAACTTTAAATGAATAAGCATTATTTCACAGGCTATTTCTAGAAGGCAACGGTGCAAATGTGAACCTACCTGAAGTGTTTATGTGGCAGCCACTTTACTCACACCATGAAGAATGACCGCTGGGGATGCCTTCAGGCTGCCTTTCCTGACCAAGTGTGCTGGCTGCACAGATGGTGAGCTGAGCTGTGCAGCCCTAGGTGCAGCCACAGGGCATCTCTGGAGCACCAAGCACCAAACACCTTGAGCACCAGGCAAAGCTGTGTCCACAGGCAGCTGTGCTGCCTGGAGGTGTCCTGCCATATGGAGGCAGCATTAAAGAGACTGACAGATCCTGTGGTTATTTACCCTGAAGCGAGTTGCAGGAGCTAAGGATGTTTAGCTTTCCATGTTTTTATAGAGAAGGAACTAAAACACAAGCAGGTTAAGATCACACAAAAAGCATGTGGCAGCTCAAGGAACTGAGGGTGCCTTGAGCTAGCTAATATTAATGGAAAAAAGCACCAGCTAATTAGCACTGCCTCTTTCTGACTGTGGAATCTGTTCCATCAGTCATTTCAATTCCTTAAATTTTGGGAGAAAAGGCATTGTGCTAAGATAAATGAAAGAGAGCATCCACAATTTTGTAACCAACACATAAACCACAAAACCTTTCCTTCCTGCACTGAAGCAAATCAAAGGATACGTGTCCTTTGAGAGG